AAGAAAAGAATCATAGTACAAACCTCGGTTCCTGCTATGCCCATGGCAAATCCAATATCAGACTCGTGTAGAGCGGGAGCATCATTTGTGCCATCACCTGTAACTGCCACAACTTGTGACATGCGTTTCAAATGCTTCACAAGTTCATGTTTGTCTGTTGGTGATGATCTAGCCATTACCTGTAATGACAAAAGAGTTCAATGCAATAAATAGCAATGTACTTTCATTTCCTCCTATCACAACATTATACTATAAAATATCAATACGATTATAGAACTTATGGATTTTCCAAAGTATAATGTCTTAATAAGAAAGAACCGAAAAAATACCTGAATTCTAGGAGCTAGTGCGTCCAATTCTTGGATGGTTTTGGTTCTAAAATCTGGACCTTCAATTGCTATGCCACCTTCGGTAAGTATACCACATTCCTTTGCAATGGCTTTAGCTGTGTTGATATTATCACCGGTAACCATACGAACAGTAATACCAGCAGCCAAACAGGTTTCAACTGCTTCTTTTACTCCTGGCCTAAGTGGGTCCTTAATTCCAACAACCGCAATCAATGTGTAACCACTCTCGGGTAGATTTTTTTCACAATCAAAGCTACCTTCAACATCCAAATAAGCCAAACAAAGAGTTCTCAAAGCCTCAACCGCAAATTCTTCAATAACATTTGTAACAAATTTCACTTTCTCTTCGGACAGAGGAACAACCTCTCCATTCCCATCGATCATCTTGTCACATAATCCCAACACTATTTCAGATGCACCTTTACAAAAAGCACGCGTTTGACCTTCCGGAAGAGTCACGATCACCGACATTTTCTTTTTAGCAGAATTAAAAGGTTCCATTTTCAACATTTTAATCTCACGGCGTACGGTTTCAAAATCGCCACCTAGATCCAACCCGTATTGTAGAATCGCGGATTCTGTTGGGGTACCTAAAATTGAAGTTTTTCCAGATTTGTCCTTCACCACCTCGGACCCCGTACATTCAAATATACCTTGCAAGAGAACCTCCGATACCCTTTCCGGTAATTTTGCATTATCTTTAACTTCTTTAATTTCACCGGATACGAATATTTTAGTAACTACCATGTGATTTGTTGTTAAAGTCCCGGTTTTATCCGTGCATATAACCGTAGAAGAACCCATTGTCTCACAAGCAGATAGATGTCTCACAAGTGCTTTGTCTTTCATTAATTCCTTCATAGCAAACGCCAGACTTAAAGTAACCGCTAAAGGTAACCCTTCAGGTACAGCAACCACAATTATAGTAACCGCGGTTGCGAAATAATCCAACATATTCAAAGCATCAGCAGACGACCAAGTTGTAAACTCATTGCGCATTGCTTTTTCTATAAGAAATCTCACAGTCAACACAAGAAAAGTCAAAATTGCGAAAACCAATCCGATTTTTCCAATGATTGTAGCGACGCCGTTTAGTTTCACTTGTAAAGGAGTCTCGTCTTCTCCTTCTTCGCTTAACGTTTCCATTAATTTTCCCCATTCGGTTTTCATGCCGACTGCTGTCACGAGCATTTTGGCTGAGCCGTCTTGTACTTTCGTTCCGGCGAGTAGGAACGGTTTTTTCTCGTTGATGATTACAGGATCGCTCTCGCCGGTTAAACTTGATTCGTCGATTAATAAATTGTATCCGGAGATGAATATTCCGTCGGCGGGGACTTGGTCGCCGATGGATAAATGGACGACGTCGCCGACCACCAGGTCGTAAATTGAGACCTTTTGGCGACACGTGTCTCGAGTGACATGACATGAAATCTTTTTTTTCTCCTTGTCGAGGTCTTTAAATTGTAACGATTGTTTGTAGTCGCTGACAGCAGTGACAGTGACGACAAGTAAAATACTGAGTAAGATTCCGAGTCCATCGTATATTCCGTTTGGAAAGCCTTCGGTTGCGAGTCCTACGCCTATCGAGACAATGGCGCATACTATAAGGATGATAAGAGTTAAATCATGAAGGGCGTCCCATATGAACATGAAGAAACTCTTGGAAGGCTTTTCGGTGTACTTGTTGATTCCGTATGTTTCTTGTCTGGTAGGTATATCGGTTGATTTGACTCCTTCGTCGATTGAGACGTTGACTGCTTCTGCGATTCCGTTGACTCCATTAAGGGATCGTAAGGCTTTCATGTCGTAATTACGTACCATGGATGCGAGTTTGTCTGGGTTTTTGCTGTATTCGGAGTGTTTTATGTCTCTTGGTTGATGGGGTTCGCGTGTCATGTTTTGAGGGTGAGCGGCAGCTGTGAGTTGAGGCATGCATGAATGAATAATGAACAAAAAGAAAGAGAAAAACCTTGAAACGTGCATATTAGATATGTTATATGTATTGGCGTTTTAAAAGAATACCATCCATAAAGCGCATTGCTGCCCTTATGGCGATGAAGGTAACACGCAGGTCTTCCTGCAAAGGTAAAAACGAAATGATTTTGTGAAAAAGATCTTACGCAAATTAAATATGTTCTGAATATATGTATTTTGTTAAAGGAGTTGATTATGGTTGCAAACTCATGCATAACATATCCACATTAGATCCACATTTAACCTGGAATTCCTAGGCTAATATATAGTTTTTTCTTGGATCCATGAGAAATCAGTGTGTCTTAAAAAATACAGAGGAGCAGTTGAATCACATATTGAGCTCAGAAAATGATTAGTATATTAACAATGAGTTCCTAATGATTATCTATCAAAGTTGAATCTATATCTTGTTTATGATGCTAATTAACTTGGGAAACAACGTGCTTTTCTATTTGATTTTGCAATTGATTTTCAGTTTACTTAGTTTAATTCATCTTATCCACCTCATCCTTGTATGGGTGGTGCATGTATATATTTACCTTAACTAATAACTATGATCTGAATCTAAATCGCATTTGCATGTATGATCCATACACTGATACACACAATCCTCAAAGACTATAAATCTTTTTCATGCTGACAATTCCATGGAATATAAAGAAATGAAGAATATCATCTCTTTCTTTTCTTCATCAACAAGGCATTGTATTTGTGCCTCAAGAGCTGATTTGGCTCAGTTGGCTTGTTTTTGACATGGCCCCAAGTTCACTCCTATTACTTTGTGGTGTGTGCCAGTCGAATTGCTATTCAAAGTCCTTACAATGATGTCTTCCATTAACGCACCAAACATCTTGAAATTAACTCACACTCTAATTGTTCATCAAACATAAGGTTTCACAACATTCATTTCCTTCCTATAGTCAACATCTTCACCAAAAAGCTCATTCTCCTAGCTAGTTGTTTTCAAGTCCTGGTTTCCATACTCAACTTGGGTTTATTATATGTATATTTTATAGTATAGGGGTTTGTTTTGTTATTTCTCGTCCTTGGTTTAGGTATATATTACTTTCCCTTTTCTCCTTTTAGAATTAATGTATCAGAAACATTTCTTCCAAAAAATCCGTTTGAGCTTTTTTGGTATCGTGATTCTTTCTCTTCTAGATACTTAATGGTGATCTTTCTTTTTGGATATTAAAACTATTAGATTGTATAAAATTACTGAAGATAAGTTGATTACGACAACTTCCATGCAGTAGAGAAGTAAAGATACTATGGGAGCTAAAACAAACAAACATGTGGAGTGGAGGAGCTGGATAATTAAAGCTTTTGGCAACCCAAGATATATACTATTCTTGTGAATCGTTCAATAAAAGTATAAAACAATACAATGTATTTTCTGCAATGACTGGACCTTCCATTATTTATATGAGACATTTATATGTAGGACAATAAATTGATCGGTGGGGTGTGTCAGGACTGGAGGAAAGTTCTAGGAAATTTCCAGGGTATCCAGAAAGGTAAACGAATCTACAAGTCTTTTTCGCGGAAATTTCCTACTTAAAACTTATGGCATACTCATCAAACCCAGAGGGTCTTTCTTGAAATTCATGCTGAAAGTCTAGGTTTGACCCTTTCGACTCATGGAAAAGTCACCTACAAATGGACTCGTTTTTTGGTTGGTTTGCTTATTTATGAGTAATTTATGACTTCATCTCTAATTAATTATTGTTATATTTACCATAAATAATAATAATAATAATAATAACATTATCTCTGCCTCCACGATGTCCAATAACATTAGTTACCATTTTTACTTTTTGAAAAGTTCTCACGATAAAATTATTTACAAATCAATAATTATTAATTAATGCAAATAAAGCAACCGTCATTAAGTGATAGAATCCATAATGTTTATAGTGTTAGTTATATGAGAATCTGAAAAAAAAAATCTCTAAGCTTTTAAATTATATAAAATTACATAAAAAGGCATTATGAAAAAGCTAAATGTAAAATATAATAAATAAAAACGTAATAATTTTGTCCTAAATGTTACAGATTTGAAGTTTTTGTTTATACTAAAAACTAAAAATTTGTCCTTCTAAACAATTTTTTTTGTTTACATCTAAGTTTTTGCTAAAAGTTACAAACCAGAAGCTTTCAAAAGTTAGTAACCGAAAAGTCTATGGGCGTGTTTGGCACAGAGTTTTTGGAAGCGTTTGGGAGCTTCTAGCTTTTAGCTTTTGACAAAACGCTCTAGTTTAAACAAAAAGCTTCGTTTGGCAGTACGAGTGTTTAGCTTTTAGTTTTAACAAAACGCTCCGATTCTAAAAGCTACTTCATGTAGCTTTTAACAAAACGCTCCGGAGCTTTTGAAATCAATTTCCATAATTACCTTTAAAAATATATTCATATATTTTTTATTTTTAATAAATTGTCCTTTTATGTAATTTAGTATATTTCAAAAGCTTCCAGCTATTTTTACCAAACATTCATATAACAAATAAAAACTACAGCTTCCCGCTACCAGCTACCAGCTACACGCTACCAGCTACCCGCTACCAGCTAACCGCTACCCGCTTGCAGCTAACAGCTACTTTTGTCAAACACGCCCTATGTGTGTTTTTCCATTTTATAAGAGCATTCCATATAAATATTTTACCGCTAAGAAACTTTTGGTTAATGTTTGAATACAATTTTACTTATCTACCACCCAATAATCACTATTTTAGGGGAAACGCTTGACAAAATTGCCATCCCTCAAATTTTCACCAAAATAGCACTAATTTCCGAACGTTGTTTAACATTGTGAGATGCTACCCCCTATTTAAGTCATTTTTCTTTTTTTTTCACACACAAGATTTTCAAAATCTCTTTCAACCTAACTATCCACGAGAAAAAGTTTGCTGGAACTTACTTTTTGAAGATCCCCACTATAAAGAAGGTTTAAAAAAATTGATTAAAGTTTATGAATTCAGCATTAAGTAAGGAAAAAATTCGTATTAATAAATTATTGTACTTTAAAAAATACATAGAGAACATATAAAACAAATTTGAAAGAAAAAGTGGTCCCTTGCGAAAAAAAATAGCCATTTGTGTAAAAAACAATTTTTTTAAAGCATTTTATTAAAAAGGATTTCCCAATTTAGACCATTTTTGTGATATAACCATGTATTTATCTTCATATACTAAACAACATAAATATGTTAGCTGATAATGAAAAAAATAGCATTTGATAACTTCAAACTTTTAACTAAGATAATTAGCAATTGTAGAATATTTAATTTGGCTATAAATCCAAAGATGGTCTCTTTATTTAAAGATACGGTCTGGTGCATTATCTACTTTTTCTAGATGTCAAGTAATTAATTATGAGATGAACATAAAAAAATAAAAAATAAAAACATATTAATTAACAAACACATAAGTTGTATTAGACTAGTAACAAATAACAACGGATGAATATAAGCTTCGTTTATTAAAAAAGTGTTTTCTAATAACAGATCATTTCAATATGTCAAGTCAAACATTAACTTTGAAAACTAGGAATCTAAGCTAAAAAGGCTAAACGTATAGAAAAGGGCTAAAAACGGCACCTCGTGAATTATTGAAGAAGAAAATTGTAAAATTCATGAGAGAAATGATGCAAATGGTCTAGAATACGAGGACACGGAAATTGACAAGAAAAACTTCGCATGACCTACACGACACGTTTATAAATTTTATCGTCATTATCGTTATTTATATAAAACATTTGTTAAAAGTTATAAAAAAAACAATATAACACCCTAACAATAGTAACATAAAATAGTGATGATATAACCTTACGAAATTTCTTATAACGACTTGTATGAATGAAATTGACAAACAATATGGGGTATTCTGAGTCTACTCGTTAAGTTCAGGGGTTTCTTGCAACTTATTTTTCCTTTTCATGTTGTTGTTTAAAAAAGGTTTTCGTTGGAATATTAAATATTAAATATTAAATAAACAATGTTGAAGACCACTATCGCACTATGTCCCAGATCTATATTAGACTATTACTCCTATAATTTAATAGTCCCTCCTTTTTGGAAAATGATCAAACGTGTATGGACTGTGTGGGCTTATGCGGAAGCGTATACTATTAATAGTAAGGTTGAATTCATACACCAATTGACTATTATTATGTCTATTATTAATTATCTGGATACACAATAATTATAACAGATTTAAATACAGTTAAAGTGAATGTTATATATTTAAAATAATACATCAATACTCATAGATGATAATTAATAGACAAACAGAAAAATTAAAAAACATTCTTAAAGTGAATGTTATATGTTTAGAATAACACAAAATAAAAAGAAAATGTGTGTGTGTGTGTGTTTTGTTATTTTTATCTGGTGGAAGAGATAATGAAATGACAAATAACAAGGCCTTGGTTTTCCCGATTACCCTACGTTTAATCTTATGGTTGTTTTTTGTCCAGGAGGAACTAATCTTGCTCGATCTTATCATTTAATATATTTGTATTGTTGCATATAAACAAAACAAAAGATGTAATTAGATCTACTGATGAAAATATAAACTAAATATACGTGAACAATGAATTGAATGGGAAATTTCTCATCGGAAATGAGTTAGGCGGCTGAAATCTATCGAAAGAGGTGGGGTATCAATATCAGCGATCAATAAAGTGTGGTGGAATCACTTTTGACACGCAAACTTGAAAAGTAAAAAATATCGAAGTTATGTGTGTACATATCCGGATTCTAACCATAAGTTATATTCCATTAACAATCCATACTGTTTTCTATCCTTGTTGAAACGTCGATATTCTATTCATAGCTATATGTTTCTGTTACGTTTACACTGACCAGATAATAAAATAAGAGAGAAATACTGTGGGGTGGAAATGAAATATGTCGTTTACCAAATAAATTTATGAGCAATAGACAATAGTATATGTATGGATTTAAGCCGAAAATTTTGAATTTGTTTACAAATGAAATTTTCAATATATTCTGCTTATTCCATACCAATATTTTTGTAACAAACTTTAACGGCAGATTTTATTATGTTCATCACGGTTTGACTTTTGACTTTTATGTTTATCTTAATGATTCCGTGTTATAAATCCTAATAAACTAAAAAATCGGTTGTTTCCTTCAAGCATGTAAAGTTTTTTGGCGATAGAACAAATTATGAGAACTTTGATTCTGAAAACTACAAAATAAAATCAGGTATATATAAGCATGAGAGAGAGAGAGAGAGGGGGGGGATTAGAACCTTGATTTTGCTAAGTCGGTTCTGGTGAATAGATCGCTTTTCGAGGTCAGCAACATGACGAAAGCGTCGGCGGTGGTTTTTGACGAGTGAGACGGCGTTGCGCCATTTCTTCAGAGCCGCTTCCGACGGATGCTTCGCCGGAAAATCAAAATCCTTCTTCAAATATCCTTCCATTTCAACTAGTTAGCACCTGCACCGCCAGCCGGCGGAGCACAAATCAGTTAGCGAGAGAGTGAGGATGAGGCCAATATTCGATTAATGGCATATGACTAGAGTATCATCCTCTCCTTTGTAACGCAAATGGCTGTAGTTATTGAACCTCTTTATTACAGACTTGGAATTTGGAGAGGATATCAAAAGGAGATATATATTGCTCTTTATAACTATAGGAACATTTACGGGTAGTGGAGCCGGGTGACTCCTGGTGGTGGAGAAAAGAAATATATTTTTAGTTTCTTGAAAAATGTTGTACGGCCCAACCCAAAAGTTTACCGGAGCCTTTCCCATGAGAGTTTTTAGGGGAAAATGATTTAAAAGCCCAACAAAGTTTTCAAACCGTTTAAAAAACCCCAATCATGTTTTGTCTGTTCAAAAAAACCCAACAAACTTAACATTTTATCTAAAAAGCCCAACTAAGTTACACTTTCTCGAAAGTCAAATAAGAGAAACAGATGACGTGACTTATTACCGTATCGGAAAAATGACTTGTTAGACCAACGAAGTTTCCAAAACGTTTAAAAAACTCCAATCATGTTTTGACTGTTCAAAAAAAACCCAGAACTTAAACAAACCAAAATTGAAATTTTCTGAACGGTTTGAAACTTTGTTGGACTTTTTAGACAAAATGTTAAGTTCGTTGGGTTTTCTTGAACAGATAAAACATGATTGGGGTTTTTTGAATGGTTTGAAAACTTCATTGGGCTTTTAAGTCATTTTCCCCGAGTTTTTATTAGCAAAAACTGATTGGTATAGTTCTCTCTACTGCGTTCAGGGGAGTTCTAAATATATATTGGGTACAGGCTAAAGAAATTTTATCGGGCCGTTCTAAATATATATTAGCAAAATTTTATCGGCCGTTCTAAATATATATTGGGTACAGGCTAAAGAAATTTTATCGGGCCGTTCTAAATATATATTAGCAAAATTTTATCGGCCGTTCTAAATATATATTGAGTACAAGGCTAGAGAAAAAAAATGACCCTTAAAATACACAAAAATCATTAAGTTTTTTATAATAAATCAACAATTGAAAAAAATTATTTGTATTATCTTCTATATATAACAATTTCCATAAAAAATTTAGAATCGTTTAAAAGATTGGCCATGGACAGTCGCCCCTATCGCTCACCTTCTAGGATGGGTATGACTACGTTGAGAGACCTATGTGGTCTCCCTTAACGTCGTTAAGGAAAGATGATCATTTTCGCCCTCAACGCCTCGTTACTTCTTGTTGCCACTACAACGTCCGTTTCTTCTTCCACTCTGTTTTTTTCTTCTTCATCTCTATTTTTGTTCTTTCAAGACCTCATAACGATGTTTTCATGGACAACCCCACCCCCACCCCAGGTGTTGAGGGCTCAATGCTAATGTGCAGCGTTATACCGATATTGTGACAACCGTCAACTTTGGGTCAAACAAAGTCAACCCGGTCAACACGACCAGTAATAGTATGTTAGGGTTTACATTATGTTTCCTAATGTACAACTCGCCGAGTATTCCTTGTTCCTGGTACGTATTCCCTGTAACTAATATTTCTTAAATAATGCATTTTGCCTTGGACTCGACGAGTTGAAGGACCGACTCACCGAGTAAAAGCGGGATGAGACACGGGGTCTAAGCTTTGGACTCGGCGAGTAGGCCCTGTTTGGGCAAAAACCCTAACCCGGGTGTTTGCACCCTATTTAAACACTCTAACTCGGTCTCCCTTGTCCCTAACACTTCCAGAATAGCTGTAGAGCGAAACCCTAGCCCCCTTTTGTCCTTGTGAGTGATTTTGGCCTTTTGAAGGAAGTTTGAAGCTTAAGAGAATAAGAAGGAGGTGGAAGAGTGCAAGGAGGAGAAGTAGATCCGACATCTACCCTGCAAGAGGCTTCCATTCAGGTAGATAAGTCCCTACCTTGATCACTAGTTCATTAGATCCCCTTTTGTCCCTAATTGGTAGTTTTCAAGCCCTAAAACACCAAACTCCATGTGTTTGTGCCCTATGATCCGAAAGGACTTCAGATCTAGACCTTATGGACGTATTGGAAGTATAAAGTCTCTGTGGATGAAGTGATTGAGGTCCCTATTGAGTGTATGACCTCATAAAGAACTTGGATTTGCCTTTTGGAGCTTATAGGTCCATGCATGCATGTAAAGTTTGCAACTTTACGTGATAAGCATGCCCTAGGAACATAGATCTATGGTTTGGAGGCGTTGCATGTCTCGTATTTGGTCTATATGGGAAGTGGTTCGAAGGGACTCGGCGAGTACAGAACTGGAACTCGGCGAGTTCTATGAAGATGGTCTTAGACTCAGCGAGTTGGATGAACAGATTCGGCGAGTCATATGAAGATTGCCTGGAACTCGACGAGTTGTTCTTCAAACTCGGCGAGTCATATAAATTGTTACTGAGTAAGAGGGGTTTAGGTGTTGAAGGTCCAACCCTTCGTATTTGCACGCGGAATTAGCAATTTAACGTGTAGCAATAGTCCCAGAAACCCAAATCCTCATAAAGGATGCTCTGGTGAGGATTTGGAAGCCCGTAAGAGATCTGCTCGTGGGGACTCGGTGAGTTGTTCTTGGACTTGACGAGTCAGATCGCGAGTCGGTTCTATCGTCCCAAGTAGTGAGTTAAGGGTGACTCAGATAATGGGAAGAGGGACTTGTCGAGTAGGACCGGGTTAGTAGGAGAAGGACTCGGCGAGTCTGTGCCATGACTCGGTGAGTCCAGTCAACTGGAAGTTGACTTTGACCAAGGAGTTGACCTTGGACTAGGGGTGGGTCAGTCATCTGACCTAAGGGTATTTATGAGTGGCTAATATATGTTTATGATTTATAGCCGGAGGATTACCGGATCAGCCGTCAGTCGCTTAGCAAGCAGACTTTCAACAGCTACTTTTCGAGGTGAGTTACCTTCCAGTAGCAGTGGGTCTACGGCCACAATGTCTGCCCACCAGTAGGAGTTGTATGATTAGATGATTGTCTCTGTGATATTCATCTAGGGTTGCTACTACCTGTGATATGTTTATGTGCTAGTATGATACGATGTTATGTGCCAATGACAGTAGGGGAGATAGTCCCCAAATTACTGTTCGATAGGGCCGAAGGGGCAGTCATGCCCAGCCATGCTAGATAGATTATGTGATATGTGTTATGTGGTAATATTAGGGGGTGAAATAGTCCCCAACATCCGGTCGAGAAGACCGAAGGGGAGACCAGCACCCAGATATGCTAGTCAGCATCTGGTCGAGAGGACTGAAGGAGAGACCAGCACCCAGATATGCTAGTCAGTATCCGGTTGAGAGGACCGAAGGGTATCAGCAAAAGCATTGGCACGATAACGACCACTCCCAACCAACCCCTGATTCACCCACAACCATTTTTCCTGTCAATTTTTTGGGGTGCGCCCGTCGGGAACTAAGGTGTGTCCCCCTCGCCAAACCGAGAAGGTGTATTTGTCGCCGGTAACATAGAATCGAAAGAAAAACTTGAAGACGAAGTAGTCTGGAAGATACCCATTAGCTCTGCAGATCATTTCAAACGCAACTATCTTGTTAACTGCATTGGGAGTCAATCATCTGATCCCATAAGAACTCTGCAGTTAAGCGTAAGGGCAGCAGATCCCATAAGAACTCTGCAGTTAAGCGTGCTCGGGCGGGAGTAGTACCAGGATGGGTGACCCCCTGGGAAGTCCTCGTGCCGAGTGGCCCAAAGCGGACAATATTGTGATACGTGCCAGAGGGGGATGTTACAGAAAATTAGGCCATGTGTTTGGCTTTGATTCCTATTTGACTTTGGGCCTATGTATTGGGCCTTGGGCTTGAATGAACCAAGCTTGGGGTAGTGTAGGAATTATCCAAAGAATGTACTATTGGTTATGTGTTGGGACCTAATTATTAATTGGGTGATGTTTTGATGTTGACAGATCGGGATTCTATCATCCATCAGCCGAGGTTGTATCTTCGGGACTTCAGCAGTGTGAGGTGAGTTGCATTCCAGTAGCGGTGGGTCTACAACCACAATGTCGACCCACCAGTAGGAGTTGTTGTTAGATGATTGTCTTTGTGATAATTGTCTATGTTTGCTACTACCCGTTATGTTTATGTGCTAGCATGATTTGATGTTATGTGATAGTGGTAGTAGGGGGTGAAATAGTCCCCGGTTACCGGTCGATAGGACCGAAAGGGTAGATTACCACCCAACTATGCTAGACAGATTATGATATATGTGATACGATATTATGTGGTAGTAGTAGGGGTGAAATAGTCCCCAGTTACTGGTTGACAGGACCGAAGGGGTAGGCCAACACCTAGATATGCTAGGCAATATATGATTTATGTGCTTATGCTATGCTTTTATGTGGTAGTGTTAGGGGGTGAAATAGTCTCCGGTTACCGGTTGAAAGATACTGAAGGGGAGGCTGGCTCCCGATTAGTGGTTGAAAGATACCAAAGGGGTAGGTCGGGCACCTAGATATGTCTGACATGGGGTAGGTTGGGCACCCCGATATGCCTGATAGTGGGGTAGGTTGAGCACCCCTATATGCTCAGAAGGGTAGGTTGGGCACCCAAATATGCTTGGCAATATGTGATTGTATGGTATGTGGTATGTGGTATGAAAACTTTAAAATATTAGGGTATGAACTCACCTTGAGTGTGGCTGTAGTTGGGTAAAAAGATGACTGTGGAGGTCTTCAAGCCTAAACACTTGAATGGGGTTGATGAACTTCCTTGGAAATGATATTATCCTAAGAGTTTTAACACATAATAATGTGTGTAAATAAGATGTAACTAGTGTAAAGGTGTGTAAAAACAATAGATAATCAAGTAGAACTTACCAAAACTCTAAGAATAAACTTGAAGATTTTAAACTTGGAAGATCTGAACTTGATTTTTGAGAGAGTTTAGAGTATACAAGAAGGATAAATGGAAATAGCGGGGAGTTAGTGAATGTTTTTTCTGTGTTTAAAGAGGAAAGGATGATGTAATGTTTTCCTAGTTATTTGTTGGATATCAACATTGATACATGCTGGGTAAACTTGGTATTGGAAAAGTTGAACTTAAAATCACAAAGTCAACCCTTCCTTATCTTATTTTCTCACCAAAATCCTCTATTTCTTACCGAAATCACATGTGATTTCGGCCTTGGTGTGAGTTTGGCACTGTAGGGATTTTGGTCTAACATGT